CTGCGCCAAGACCTCTGGATCGCGCTGGCAACTGGCAGTGTTCGGTGAACCCTTTGTGGCTGCCAGACCATTTGCTTGCAAAAAGAAGGTTTGCAAGAAGCTGGCAAGCTGGCCTGAATTTTGGGCATTCCTTCGATCAATTCGCGTTCTGCGGAAATCAAGAGGCTTAGTAGCCTTTGGCCTGAAGACTTGAAGTGGGGTCAGTCTTGTTTCGTACAGGAATCGGAAGTTGCTAGCAAAGCAGCCTAAGTGGCTCCAGTAGCTCAGCGGCTCCAAAAAGCGCCCCCTCCAAATACGCCCAGTGGTTTTTAAAAACCAAGACCGTATTGCGAGGGGAAATTGTCCACTGAATATGCTTTGCTTCAGTTTCAGTATTGCCTGGGAAAAGATAACTGAGAATACACTCCTGGTTTGCAAAAACTGGGCCCGTATTCACAAGGGCATTCCCCCCCTACAATACGCCACTGGTTCGTAAAAACCAGTAACCTCAATGTTTTCGTGTCATTGAAAGGTGAAAACAAGCACTTGAAAGGTTTCGTGCATTTGAAAGGTGTTTTGTAGCCGACGACTGCTTCCAAAGGTCTCAATTTGCTTGCAAAGGTACTGCGTTGCCACTGAAAGGTCTGAGAGAGGTCTCAGGGCAGCTGTCATTGTTTTTACTATGTTGACTTCACCGTCATGAATCGCATGCTTTTGCCAGGCCAGCGATGCCTCCACCTGCGATCAGTGCAAGGCTGGCAGCAGACGAAAGGGTGAGCGCCTGCAAAGGTGGGCAGGCGACCAATTCTTGGGGGCGTTTGGCCAGATGCGCTTGGGTCGTTGCTTGGTGGTAGTAGTCCTTACTGGTCAAGTAGTGACTCTAGAGTTTGTGCCATATAGGGCCTGGCCACCCTGCAGCCCACACTGCCAGGGATTGCATGGATTCCAACGACAACAAGCTATATACTCTCTGTGGCAAACTTCATGTTTCGAGACTATGATTTGGACACAGTAGCTCCAGTCTTCCCGCTGCACTGATGAGAGTGGTAGTGGGTCAGTGGTGTTTCAGCAGCGTGCAGCGTTCAATCGAAGTGAGGCAGCCCTGGCAGCTTACATGGCCTATAGAATCGGCTGTCGCATCCCACCACTGGACAAGGTGTGTGAAACCTTTCAGTGCGTTCTGTTGAGCCTTCACCACTATGTGTCACACTTACTTTCCCATGAAAGGTTCTCTAGTGCTATTGAAAGGTGAGCTGGTCGTCTGCCTTGTTTGATCAGACAAGAACATCATCAGGAATCAGATCCCATATTGGCACTCCAAGCTCCGCAGGACCCAGACAACCTGATGCTGCAGATCTCGCACGCTGAGAATCCCTTTCTGAGGATGGGGGAGTCCAGGCTGTCTTTTTTTGGACAGTTGCAGAGGCAGCTTTGCCCACTCTGTGGTGAAGAGCCGTGACTTGGTGGATGCCTGTGTGATAGTTTTCAGGCAACAACCTGCAACTTGATACGACCATACGTTGCAACCTGTGAGCGCTTCGGCTGTTTGTTTCTACCTGTGCCACAAACCAGATGAATCACCGCGCCCATGCCAGGCAACAGGTCTGTCAGCTTCAAAAAAACTCTGGCTTGGTGCTAGGGCGGACCTGCTTTGGGGCATCCTTAACTGAGGTGGTGACAAGCTGATGGCCTGTTTGAAGATTCTGGTGGCCAGTGCCAAAGTTCAGAAATTGGAAGCCAGGGAGCAGTTAGCTTTAATTATGATTGCAACGTACCTTCGCTCTGTGCAATTTGGTGAGTTCTTGGTGGATGAGTTGTCGGCTCGTCGGCCCTTGGCTTTGCTTCCGCTCGTTCAAAAGTTCTTCGAAGTCACCCATGGGGTTGCCCAGCGAAAAGCTTTCCTGCCGTCCCGAGTTATTTCCAAAAGGGAGCAGAAGGTCCGGCCGAACCGTGCCCTGGCGAAGCTTCGGATGGCTGATGTTCTGGCCATGGCTGGCCAATTTTTGGATGGCAGCCTCGACATTATGTTCGTGTGCCAGGGCAAAGCTGATTGGATTGTCGACGTGGATATGTGCCTTGTCGCAACCTGAATGGAATTTCAACAACATCATTTTCAAGACAGGGAAGCAATAGCCAAGTAATTGACCACCGAGGCTCTATCTCGTGAAGTGCAACTCCAGCAGGCTGATGGCTCCCCACTTTCGGCAGACACTTGCGGCCATTGATCGTTTGGC